TGTCATGGAAGTCTTGAAGGAGCATGGCCCAAAGGCTCTGCAACATGAATTCCATCATATTTTTTCTCAAAGACTGAGTCAAGACGGCACTACGATGTAGATACAAAAATCATTTGCTAGTATCTGTTAATACAACTTTGAACATGCAACTAGCATTCGGTATTCTGTTAATACAACTTTGAACAAATTTTATCAACTAAAGATGTAGATACAAAAATCATTTGATAGTATCTAACTTTTCTTCCTTGGAGGCTCACGAACTCAGTTTTTCTTTCCTGGAAGAACTTTTTTGCACCAATTTAAAGAAATTTTAAGGCAAAAGCAGCAACTGGTCTTTCCTAATTTCGTGATCTCCGGGTCTGTATTAATTTGCAAATATGATATCTTGGAAAATTAGTACAGATCGTTGCAAATGGGACAGTATCAAACAATTATAAGTTGTCTTAATATAGTGAATTGACCCTGAATTTTACAAACTAAAATTTTCAATACGACTAATAAAATCCTATATCATAGTGTGACTTCACATTTTGTGGCCAACATTTGACTTAAAAAGGTGAATTAAGACATGAATCAACATCTCTGAGCCCCAAAAATATAGAAATTTCTTCACCAATACAATTTTCCAGAAAAAAAAGAAGAAGGAGAAAAGGCTTGATCAATATGATCTATGTTGTCATTGGTGTTGGCGTGTTTATATTGTTGTTGTTGGCGTGTTTGAAGAGTGCGTAATGAGTTATAAGTCCTTAACTTTAGCTTGAAACTTGAAACTTGAAAGTAGCATCCTTCTTACACCCAGTTGGCACAGCATTTGGTTAGCATTCTAATTCTAAAGGAGTAGCCTCATCTCCATTATCCCTTCTCTCAAATTTTCCTATATATATCTTTGGATAACAGACACATTTATAAAATAATTTTCAACAATTGACTTTAGTTTTTTTAACCATGTTGCTTAACCTTGGTTTTTCTTTCAAAAAATTTTTTTTTTTGTCGTTCTTTAAAAATTTTTCTATGTAAACGCCTAGGTTTTTCTCTTTCTTTCGTTGAACTCCAATAATTCTAAATGAAAAGTGACACTAAGATTTGAAAATAGAAAATTTCGTCCTATTCTAAGATATTTTTTACATTGAAAATATTATATCTTATGTTTCCACATAAGACATGAAATAGCTAAATTTACAATCTTAATTGGAGATTTGTAATATTTTCACCGGTATAAATATAAAAGTAATTGTATCAAAATTAATTTAGTTTTCAAAATGGATTGTTAAATTTGTAATTTGATGTTTGGTTAAACCCAATATCAAATTTTATTACTAGATGTTGCACATGTGCCATTGTCCATTACGAAAAGTAAATATTGACTTCTTGATGCTCAAATTTTAGTTTCTGTTACAAATACATGAAATTTAGTCAATCTTTTGCTACTGCAAAACATTTTTTTTTTATTGATCAACTGCATTTAAATTGAAATTAGAATAATCTTCAACTAAAAATTATGAGCCAAATAAGGAAAGCTTATAGTTGTTAACATAAAATTGGAATTTTTTTGTAATTAAGCTTTCTTTGCTAACAAATTGAATTAAAAAATTAACATAATTCATTCTAATTTTTTCTTCGTAAGAGGAAATGAATATATGTACTAACGGACAGCAAAATTGTGCTATTAACTAATACAATGGGTTATATTGCAAAAGAATGAGTTTTCATCTTTCAACTTACAACTTTTAATAAATGGCATAACAAAACTATTTGCTATTTGGAAAGAATATACACTATGCTACCTATGAAAATGAAAACTAGAAGAGTTAACATTAATTTAACTTGGCAAAAGAAAATATAAGTGTGAGGCACTGACCATGAAAATAGAAAAAGAACAACAATCCCTTTATATTTTTTTTTTATCTTTTTATATATCTTTTTGAAAGCACATCTAGTTTTTTTTTTTATTTTACATAATACTGTAAGGGGCTTATACAGATATTTTCAAACATTAGAGGATTATGTGGTAATATGCAGAACGACAAAGATATAAACAGTACTTTAAAGTTTAAACCTATTTTTTCTTTTCTATTTTTTTTTGGGTGGGGTGGGGTTTGGGGATTGAACATTTCATACCAATTTGCACGTTGGAATGCATAATTTTTCTTAAGCATGCCAAGACTTTCTGAGGTCCGGAATAAGTGTTAGATAACAAACTAAGAGGTATCTTCTTAATCTAAGGATGTTGAAACTTGAAAGTGAAACTCTTGTAAGGAACTTGGATGGAATTTACACCGAGTAGACCTAAAAATGAGAGGACCAGCGCAATTGGCTTCAGATATTCCACCCCAAATGGTACGACAATTTTGAGAAAAAGGGTAGGGAGAATTATTTCAAGAGAACGGCCTTTGATCAAAACTACCACATAAGGAACAATTTTACCGGATAAGAAAATGCATCTTTCTAAAAAATTTCTTATAGTTTTCTAGAATAATTTTATAAAGCTTTTTTTTTCCTTAAAGTAGTTAGTAAGATTTAGAATCTCTCCTAAATTGCAACAATAAGATACTTATGAGCATTATATCTAACACTTACAACTCTCTCTCTCTCTCTCTCTAACACTTACAACTTAAAAATAAGATCCATGAAAGTTTCTATGAAAATCAATTTAAGCATCACATAGCTTTTGTATAATTTCAAAAGCTTTTATCTCCGTAGTTCTTTGAAAAGGTCTCCAGAAATTAGGAGACAAATGAAAGAATGGTTTGCCACTATGCACAACATATAAATCTTTTCAGCTTTTAAGTTATTTTTCTCAATTGCTGCTTTATCATATATAGTCCTGATATGGACAAGAGGAAGAAGAATATTCGTAGAAAGTCTTCGTCAACTATGTCATGGAAGTCTTGAAGGAGCATGGCCCAAAGGCTCTGCAAAAGTATTCAAGTCATTGTTGTTTTTTCACTATCCAGAAAAGTAAGGACAAGTTAAATTCGACCACATTTTTTCTCAATAATTGAGTCAAGACGGCACTATGACAAGTCCAATTATTCACGTACAAACATGCAACTAGTATTCGGTACTGTGTTGATACAACTTTGAACAAATTTTATCAACTAAAGATGATATCTAACTTTTGATACAAACGTCTTTTGATAATATCTAACTTTTCTTCCTTCTATTGGAGGCTCATGAACTCCTCAGTTTTTCTTTCCTGGAAGAACATTTTGCTTCAATTTAAAGAATTTTTAAGACAAAAGCAGCAATTGGTCTTCCCTAATTTTGTGATCTCCAGGTCTGTATTAGTTTGCGAAGCTGATATCTTGGAAAATTAGTACAGATTGTTGCAAATGGGACAGTATCAAACAATTATAAGTTGTCTTAATATAGTGAATCGACTCTGAATTTTACAAGCTAAAATTTTCAATACGACTACTTCTAATATCATAGTGTGACTTCATATTTTGTGGCCAACATTTGAGTTAAAAAGGTGAGTTAAGACGTGAATCAACGTCTCTGAGCCCAAAAACATAGAAATTTCTTCACCAATACAATTTTTTTGAAAAAAAGAAGAAGAAGGAGAAAAGGCTTGATCAATACAATTTATATTGTCATTAGCATGTCTAATGGGTTGTATATTGTTGGTATATTGTTGTTTAATGGGTGTTTAATGTGTTTATATATTGTTGTTGGCGTGTTTATTGGGTTATAAGTCCCTAACCTGCATGGTTGAAACTCGAAAGCAACTAAGGATGTTGAAACTTGAAAATGAAACTCTTGTAAGCAACTTGGATAGAATTTACTGCTGCGTAGACCTGAAAATGAGAGGACCAGCTCAATTGGCTTCACATATTAATTCCACCCCAAATGGTACGACAATTTTGAGAAAAAGGGTCGGGAGAATTATTTCGAGAGAATGGCCTTTGATCAAAACAACCACATAATGAAACAGGATGAAAGTTTATACCGTATAAGAAAATGCATCTTTCTAAAAAATTTCTTATAGTTTTCTAGAATAATTTTATAAAGCTTGTTTTTTCCCTTAAAGTAGTTAGTTAGTAAGATTTAGAATCTCTCCTAAGTTGCAAAAATAAGATACTTATGAGCATTATATCTAACGCTTACAACTCTCTCTCTCTCTCTCTCTAAACTGTATGAAAGTTTCTATAGAAAGACTTCTTTTTATGAACTGTTAACATCTCTTATCAATCTGTGTCTTCAAATGAATTGCTAAAAATCGCCAGTTGCAAAATCCCAGTCTTGTAGTTAAGACATTTGGAACAAATTTAGTTAAGTTTCAATAAAGGACATTGATTTCAATTAGAGATTGGTGGGAAAGAGAAGTAGGATTTTTCCATTATCTTTAAACTGGTACGAAAAAGAATTTTATGGTCCTTGTTACGAAAACTATTATTGTTTATGCACAATATAATGTTTTACAATAACTCATTAACCTTTATTACTCAATCATGCCGCTAAGTTTTTTTTTTTAATTATTTACAAGCGTTTATAACAATTTAATCTTTTACTTTAAAGTATTATAGTTACATTTCACTTAATAAAGGACCGTGATGGAAATATTTGAAACAACTTCTGTGTAGTATCCTTAGAAAATGTTTGTTTCGAAATAATGGAAAATTTTTTCATAATTTCGCGAAAGTTGCTAAGAAAATTAAATCAATTCAAGCATCACACTAGTTCTGTTTAATTTCAGAAACAGTTATCTTGATAGTTTCTAAAAAATTTTAAAAGATTTATGGTTACAAAAAATAGATTTTTTTTTTTATTTTGAATGACAAAAGTTTTATGACAAAAATTATTTTCTCAAGAACAGTCCATTAAAATTACAGTAGTGTTGGCTAATGATTAATTCCACATGCGACTTTCAACATTCTGCTCTCATACGTACGTAATAACTATTAGAATTAACACTAAAAGTCAAGTTTTTTTTTTTTTTCACATACTTCCACCATTACACCCGGCGCCTTTATATAAACCGTTATGCTGATCATAAATTTATCAAGCAAGAATGAAGAGACAAATAACATTTTTTAGTGCTTTCCTTTTCTTCTTTCTGTTGCAACCATGCTCGGAAAGCTGTTCTGCTGGGATATGGCTGTGGATTAGTGCTCGGATTAGTTATGGGAGGTCTCATTTTCTTGACTGGAAAACCAAGATGGATTGTACTGATTGTCGAAGAGTCGTTCAAACCGCGAAGGCGACCGATGAAATGGATCCACATACGAACTTAAGAAGGGCAATGCAATAATTTACATAACTGGTAAGCAAAGCATTCTTGTTCTACCCCTATTATTATGAAATAATTAATGTTATTCCTTTGCATAATTTATTTTTTCCTCAATCATAATAGCTTTTAAATCTTATCGTTTGGACAAAAAAAAAAAAAAAAAAGCTTTTAAACTATTGTGATTCTATTAAATTAACTGATTACTGAACTTCGTTGGATGATAAGTTTTTCGTATGGCTAATCTGAAAAGCTTTGACTTGTTAATGCCCAGGTCTATCAATGGAGTGGAAATAAGGAAAAGATTTGGTTCATTTCCAGTCGTACGTGCTGTGTATTTTAGGCTGGTTCCTAAAATACAAGTCTCAGAGCCTTGTTTTCAAGTCTTAGGCTGTGTATTTTAGGCTGGTTCATTTCTCGTGGTTTTCAAGTCTCAGAGCCTTGTGGTTGCTTGCGGCTGAATCTGTAGGTTTATAATTGTAAGCAAGAAGACATTTCAATGGATAATTACTATTAATTGGGTAAGTGGTTCAGTATGGCATTGTGTATTGAAAGTTGTCCGGTGCAAATTATGAGAAGGGTCCATCATTTTTTTGATTGAATACCAGCATTCACTAATAAACATTAAATCATACTGGTGTTTTAACTAATTCATTGTACAATAATTCCACATCTGAAAAATGCTTTGGCAAAAAGTTTGTCCCATCTGAAGCATAGCGAATTAATTATTACTAAAAGCAGTAACCTACGCATGTAGCTCAACTACATAAATATTCCGAAGAACCAACCGACTTGCTCTGCATTGGTGAAGACAAATTCCTACAAATTTCCCTGCCAGTTATCTCTCACACATCAATTTCTTGCCAAACGGAGCGTTTAAATACGGTTCTCCGAAGTTAGGTAGCGAGTGTTTTGCTTACTATAAAGCATATTTTATGTGTGTGCGCGTGTGTATATATATATTTTATTTTAGATAAAATATCATAATTTCATTAAAATATGCACCAAGGACAAAAATTACATCATCAAATATACTAATACTTGTCGTTAAGTTCTAATACTTACGTGATTTTAACTGTGACGTGAGAATTTTTGCCCTGAAAGTTGTGCATCTATGGCACGGGACTTGATAAACTTGGTTTACTCAATTTTTACATCAACAATAATTTTATTACAAGCTTAAAGTCAAGTTATTCGATATTTTAAATTTTTAATTGCCATGAATGTGCCATTTCCTTTCCGCGTGTAAATTAAAGTTGATCATGCATTCAAACTTATCTAAGTTGATGTATATTTACACTGATCCGAAAACAAACACTAGTTTGGAGCGGGAAGGGGGTATTTATTGTGTGACATGATATTAAATTCAAACAACTTGTATATCATTTCTTTCTTCATTATTTGCGTCTTAAAATGTTGCCCATCCTTTTTCTTTTTTCATTATCCGCCTTAACCCATGTGTTGTATGATTTTGAATGGATTTGTTCTATTCCCAGAATATAATATTTGTAGAGCAATACATATTTCAAGCTCTTGTACAAATGAGAATGATAAAGTAAACCAAAACCAAGCTCCTTAACAAATATGAAGTACTAATGACAATTGAATACCATTATTAGACCACATAAAGTTGTTTGTACATGATCCAAGTATATAGTCTTCAAGACAATTTAAGTGTGTTTACATGAATCTAAGTATTTGAAGACATTTGTTAAAAAAAAAATTGTGAGAAGCTCATTATCCATATCTAATTTATTGTCCTTCATCTTTTATGCTTAATATATTTGATCTGAATGATAACTTTCCGAAGCAAGCAACATTATCTCCAAAGACTCAAATCGATTAGATACTTGGGCGGGCCTTAGGACTTGGGCCTTTCATAAATACTATCTACCAGTTTCTAATTCAAATGATCACACAATTGTTTGCTGGGCCTTACGTTAATCCTCCCAAGCAATTTTAACAATGTTGAGCTGAAGTTGGACTCATTGGTCTTCCAAGGAATCAATTTGGTTATTGCATTTAGAGGAAAATGATGCTAGATCTGGGAGCTATCCTTTCTAGACTAACCTTTTTCCTCTAGACTAACTAATTGGAAAAGATGAAAAAAAAAGAAGTCAACACAAGGCTGTTCTTCAAAGGAAATCATCACTTTAAAGTAATTCGGGTGGAAATTGTAGTATACATTCACTTCAATTAGAGATTGTTAGGAAGGAAAAGTAAGATACTTCATTTTCAATTTTAACAGCAGAGCCTTTGATTTGCTATCAAAGAAATTTATCCATAATCTAATATATACATATGGTTGTTTTCTGTATTAGATATCTTGCTATGTCATGAGTTAGGCACAAGGTCAACTTACAATAATTAATTTGGATGTTGATATTACTTATCCTTTTTCTCTTGTGAACCCTTTTACTGCTCAATTATGCCAATAACACTTTATTTACAAATCCTTTAATAGTTTTTTCTAATACATTTACAAGTCATAATAAAAGGGCCACTCAAGGAACATTTCGAACAAATTGCTACTTTGTATTAATTGCATGTATATTTCTATACAAGAAAATATTTTTCACTGTTCCTTGAATGTGTTTATGACACTCAATTCAAGCATTACACTATTTTCATAAAATTTCGAAGCATTTATCTACATAATTCTTTGAAGAGTTTCCCAGAAATCAGGAGACAAATGAAAGAACGACAATGCAGATAAAATTTGATGCAAATTTAAATAAAAATTTTCAACTGAAGATGCAGATAAAAAAAATCTTTTGATAATTTCTTAATTTTCTTCTTTCAGTTCACTAATTAGAAAAAATCTACTAGTTGTTACAAAATTTGGATTTAATCACAGCTCCAGCATCCATTGCCTATTTCTGTGTGCAATTGAGAAGGACCGACAATGCTTGACTTGTCTAAAAATAAATCGACCATGGAAATTGCAATTCCACAATGCTTTGGTAACTTAAGTTCTCAACTTTGGGCGCTGAACTTGAAAAATAATGGTCTTGTAAAATATCTATTGAGAAGTCTTGATTTGAATTGCAATTTCTTGAAAGGTTCACTACTTAACACAATGATTGGCCAACTCTGAAGAAAATTGGAAGTCCTTGACGTCCCAAACATGCTTACTGAGGAGATATATTTCCAACATGGCTAACTCGAAAATCTTTCAGGTTCCAAGTCTCTAAAGTCCTGAAAGGTAAGGGTTTTTCGGACCTACATTATGTTTGGAAGATTTATAGGTCTCCCTAGCTACGAGTTCATTGATATCGTCCCTACATTACTTCTCAACAGCTTAAAAGCCGTAATCGGGCCAGGCCAATATCAATTTGAATGTAATATTGTAATTACATCACTTTGATGCTTAGAATTCTGTCACAGATCATCTTGCGGGCCTAATTTTTAGAGGTTATATTTCCCAATAATTCTTCAACACACTACTTTATCATAGAGAATATCACAAATTTTTTGTATGCAAAGCATTCCAATTTAGACTCGCTAATGTGCCAAATCTTGCAAAAAATTTAACAATGTCGATTAGAAGTTGGACTGACAGGTCTTGCACGGAATTGCATGTATACAAAAATGTAATAGGATCTATCATTTTCTACACTAACTTATTATAAAAGGTGAAAGAAAGAACTTAAGTCTTTTCGGCCTAAAGAGGATATGTCGTCTTTAAGGTCTTTTGAACCAAAATTTTACTCTGTATCCCTAGCTGAATTTAACTATTAATGAATTACATTCACTTGGATTAGAGATTGTTGGGAAAAAAAGTAGGATCCTTTGCCATCAATGAAAAGTATGCTTAATCTACTATATGTTTGTTATCTAATTGATTTTGTACTAGATATTTTACTACTTCATGAGTTATATGCAATACTAAATTTTAATATCTAGTTTGCTTCATTTTTTCCTCTTATGAACCCCTTTATTGCTCAATCATGCCAATAAATCCTTAGCTACAAACTTTTTTAGCAACTATCTAACATTTTGCATATAAAATTAGAGTACCATTTAAGAATATTTCAAACAATTGCTATGTTGTATTAATTACGTGTATATTTTTGGATTAAGAAATTTCTTAGATCCATGAAAATTTCTGTGAAAATCAATTTAAGCATCACACTGCTCTTGTACAATTTCAGAAGCTTTTATGTCCGTAGTTCTTTGAAAAGGTCTCCAGAAATTAGGAGACAAATGAAAGAATGGTTTGGTACTATGCATAACATATAAATCTTTTCAGCTTTTAAGTTGCGTTTCTCAATTGCTACTTTATTATGGTCCTGATATGGACAAGAGCAACAAGAATATTCGTAGAAAGTCTTCATCAATTGTGTCATGGAAGTCTTGAAGGAACTTGGTCATCGACGAATTCCTGCAAGCACACAGGATCGATCGTAGTAATAATTTACCTGGTATATTTTAGGGTCGAATCCACAAGAACGAGTTAATTTTCTATTTTAATTATTTCAATAAAATAACAAAATTTAAATTCAAAAATTTGTACTTTCAAAATATGCAATAAAAGAATAATCAATCAAATAGAGTAATAGTGAGAAAACAAATGACATGAGTCTAGGGTTTTAAGTTTTAATTTAGAATTTGAGTCAATTATCTAGTTAATTTTTTAACGAACCATGAATGCATCGTACAATTATATTTTAAATTATCTTTCGATACATCTAAAATGTGTCTAATTAAATGTTGAGGATTGAAGTCAAGAAACTGAATTGTATCAGTAGAGAAGATAGAAGAAGAGAAATTAGGAGGGAGGAATGAGGAGAATTTCAGAGGGAGGAGGGAAAAGATAATGAGAGAGAGACTGAGATATTATTGAGAGGAGAATTAGGTACAATGAATCTGATACTTCCTACAATCGCAGATGTAATACTTATACAAATCCTAGTTTTCACTCAAATACCAGATTGCTAGCAATTAACTAACTTTCCCGCCAAAACTCTTCATTCTGTTAGGACCAGGCTTGGTCACGTGATCCTTCCCCTGTGCTCCCATTTCTCATGCTACCTCTTCTGCTGACTCTTTCTGGTAGTTAGTTTAATAGCTTCCCTTGAATGCAGGTCATTACAATGCCTCCCCCTAAAAATAATCCTAGTCTCTAGGATTGATTAAATTGGAAAGTAGGGAATTGAGCATGAATGAATGTCCAATCTTCTCAGGTGGCTTCCTCGGGTTCCATGTTTTCCCACTGCACCAACACCTGTTCGACCTCTTGTCCCTTTCTAAAGATTGTCCTCTGGTCTAGAACTGCTGAGGGAGCAACACCGAACTCCCCATCATCATTCAGGGTAGGCAAGGCAGTGCTGAGGGGAGCCCCCTTAGGTGACTTTTTGAGTAAGGAGACATGGAAAACAGGATGTATGGTTGATCCCACTGGTAACTTCAACCTGTAAGCTACAGTCCCCAACTTTTGCTCTACCTGATATGGCCCATAGTACTTAGCCGCCAGTTTTATGTTCCTTCTTACAGCTACAGAAGTTTGTCTGTAAGGCTGCAGCTTCAAATAAGCCCATTCTCCTACTTCAAATTCCCTGTCACTCCTCCCTTTATCTGCCATTTGTTTCATCCTGTTCTGAGCCTTCAACAGATTCTCCTTGAGCAAGGAGTTCCAGCCCACTCGTTCTTGTGCCCAATCCTCCACGGCAGCTACTAGTGTGCTATCAGGCCTCAGGTTCATCTAAGTAGGCTTGTAACCATACAAGGCCTGAAAGGGAGACATTTGTAAGCTATTATGGTGGTTAGTGTTGTACCACCACTCTGCAGCAGGTAGCCATTTCCTCCATTTCCCTGGTTGATACAGACACATACTTCTCAGGTAGTTTTCCACACACCTATTCACCCTCTCAGTCTGCCCATCAGACTGAGGGTGATATGCAGATGACAGATTTAATTCTGTGCCTAGCATTTTGAAGAGTTCTTGCCAGAACAAGCTAGTAAAAGCCTTGTCCCTATCAGAGACAATGTGTGTTGGCAGGCCATGCAACCTAAAAATCTGATCAAAGAATGCCTCTGCGACACTTTTAGCAGTATAGTGAGAGGTCATTGGAATAAAATGGGCGTATTTAGTGAATCTGTCCACCACCACGTAGATCACATTACAACCAAAGGACTTGGGTAATCCCTCTATGAAATCCATAGAAATTTGTTGCCAAGCTTGGTCAGGTATGGCCAGTGGCTGCAGTAAACCTGGATAGGGGCAATTTCATTTTTCCTCCTCTTGCAGACCTCACAGCTTTGTACATATTGCTCTACTTCCTTCTTCATTCCAGGCCAGTATAGATAACTCTTAATCCTCTGATAAGTACCATGATTCCCCGAGTGTCCCCCAAGACTAGAATCATGAAAACAGGAAACCAGCCTTTGTCTTAATCCAGAATCTGCTCCTACCCTCACCCTTCCTTTGAATCTTAGAAATCCCTGGTTATAAGAGTAATCTGGTAATGCATCAGCTCCCATAGCTAACTTCAGCAGAACCTTCTTGGCCACCTCATCACCGTTGTAGCTCTCAGCTACCATGGTCAACCACTGAGGCTTGATGGCAGTGATAGTATGCACAGACGTTTCTGCTGTATTCTCCAAATCACCCCTCCTTGACAAGGCATCAGGAACTATATTTTCCTTCCCTTTTTTGTATTGAATCTCATAATCCATCCCCATAAGTTTAACCAGCCATTTTTGTTGGAGAGATGTGTTAATTTTCTAATCCAACAAGTATTTGAGACTCTCATGATCAGTTTTGATAATGAAATGGTGTCCCATCAAGTAATGTTTCCACTTGTGAACTGCAGTGATGAGTGATAAGAGTTCCTTCTCATAGGTAGACCTGGCTTGATTATTCTGTCCCAGTACTTGGCTGTAGTAAGCTATTGGCCTCCCTTGTTGCATTAGAACAGCACCAATGGCCATCTGACTGGCATCAGTTTCCAGCAGGAATGGCTTTGAGAAGTCAGGTAATGCCAACACTGGTGCTGCACTCATTGCCAGTTTCAATTGTTGGAATGCAGTTTCTGCAGCAGTACTCCATGCAAATTGATCCCTTTTTAGCAGTTCAGTAAGAGGCTTAGCAATCTCCCCATACCCCTTAACAAACCTCCTATAGTAACCTGTCAAGCCCAAGAATCCTCTGAGAGCCTTTACACAGGAGGGCGTTGGCCAGGACAGCATAGCCTCCATCTTGGATGGATTAGTTTTCACCCCTGCACTAGTAATTATATGTCCCAGATACTCTACTTAGTCTTGACCAAAAGAGCACTTAGATATCTTTGCAAACAAAGAGTGTTGTCTCAGGGTTTCCAAAACTATGGATAAGTGGTGTAGGTGACTCTTGTAATCTGGACTAAATCTTTCCCCACACCTGAAACATAGGTTGTGATCCTTCCTGTACTGGAATTCAGTGGGGGAGATTTTCTTGAAAACTTGCTGTGAATTAGACTTCCTGCTGAATTCTGTTGGTGATGTTCCAGCTTGTCTTACTCCCGGATCCTGAGCTCCATTTCCTCCCTTGTTAATTCCAAATGAGGTTGAGTGCAAGGTATTTCTGAGTATAGGCCTACTGGACTTGTGAACCAGATCCAAGTGATGTTCCTGCCATCTGGCCATCTCAAAGGCAGACTGTAGACTGTCTGGCCTGTGCATCTTCACGGCAGATTTAATTTCCCCCTTCAGTCCACTTAAGAAACTAGCAATGTAGTAGGATTCAGTCAATTCTGGCATCTGGATCATTACAATAGGCCTCAACTCTTCAAACTTCTCCTGATAAGCCAAAACAGTGGAGGTTTGATTGAGTTTGCTAAACTCTTCCACTGCATCAGCCTCTCCCACAGTGCTGAACCTCCTATATACTTCTGATCCAAAATCCTTCCATTGGACTATTCCCCTATCTTTTTTGAAATTCTGATACCAGAGATCCGCCTTTCCTTCTAAGTGCAGTTCCACAAGGTCCATCTGCTGCTCCTCAGTAGTGCGAAATAGTTGGAAAAATTTCTCACACTTCCTGATCCACTCCTTAGGACTGTGGCCATCAAATCTGGGGAAATCTAACCTGGGGACCCCCATGGGCCAATGTTGCCCCTCTCCTCTAGAGGAATTGCCAAATTCACCATGCCTGATATTCGAATTTCCAGCATTTCGATTGTTAGGAGTCCTTTCTGCAGAACCATTAGGATTTCCCAAAATGCCTTTGTCCCCCTGCAAACTTCTCAAAATCGAGCTGATCTGGTTCCTCACAAAGTTCTTCAGCTCTGCGCTATTTGCTTCCAGTAAGGACCGCATCTCCCTTTGATTAACTTCCAGCTTCTCCTCCATGACCTGCTTGTCTGCTATCATGGAATCGAGAACCGCTTGAATCCTGGCATCCTGTTTCCTGAGCTGCTCTTCGAAGCTTTTCATGCGTGTACCTTCTGCCATTATGGATTGTGGAGTGAACTTGCAATCCGAGGACCGCAAGCTCTGATACCACTGTTGAGGATTGAAGTCAAGAAACTGAATTGTATCAGTAGAGAAGATAGAAGAAGAGAAATTAGGAGGGAGGAATGAGGAGAATTTCAGAGGAAGGAGGGAAAAGATAATGAGAGAGAGACTGAGATATTATTGAGAGGAGAATTAGGTACAATGAATCTAATACTTCCTACAATCGCAGATGTAATACTTATACAAATCCTAGTTTTCACTCAAATACCAGATTGCTAGCAATTAACTAACTTTCCCGCCAAAACTCTTCATTCTGTTAGGACCAGGCTTGGTCACGTGATTCCTCCCCTGTGCTCCCATTTCTCATGCTACCTCCTCTGCTGACTCTTTCTGGTAGTTAGTTTAATAGCTTCCCTTGAATGCAGGTCATAACATTAAATCCTACGTCTTTTTCAAAATTGCAAGTATTTAATTAAACTCTTTAAAAATTTCGGTGATATAAGTGTATCATACAAATCCTAACCTACTCTCGTGATTAATCTAAAATATTTATCTATCTAGTGCATAGTTGTATCTCCCTTGTTAGTTCAATACAATTTTTAAGAGCATGTCTATGGTGGCAAAGCATAAACAGATAATTAAAATCAAGATAGATAAATCACAACAAAAAACAAGAAATTAAACTAAAAAATTAATCAAATTCCTTCATAAAATCCCTAACCCTAGAAACAATTTAGTTCAACATGATTTGGAAATTAAAACCATGAATTCAAAGAGTTGCTAGAAAGATAAGAAAAGAGTAAGAAAACTTTGTAGTTGCTTGCGCCAATCTTCTCCTTACACGCTCCTTGATTCGCCTCCGTTTGGTCTTGATATCTCAAGAATAAACTATAAAAAGATGTAAAATTAGACTAGACTAATGTTTTCCATCCTTAAAAGCAACTCAAAGAACCCCTATTTATAGTTTTTTGAAAATATATCCTAAACAAAGTAGGAATATGCTTTATTGGAGTTGAAAAACTACGTTTTCACCCATTTTTTCAATGAAGACCGGCCCAATATCCGCTTGGATGAATGCTATAACAAAATAAATTACCAACACAGTTAACTTTTAGATTGAAGGGCTCTGTAGCAATTTGCTCACGGTAACTCTTAAACCCTTCGATTACAACCTAAAAACGACAAAATTAGTCCAATTAATTCACCAATTCACTAATTAACCATATCCATTTCCCATATCAAACTAACAAACCGCCCAAAAAAGTTCAAAAGAACTTAATTACCTGCTTTATATACATGCTGATGGCTCTTTCTCACAAGAGTCCACAACTAGAAATTTCTTCTGCAGAAATATTCAGCCAAGATGAAATTAAGACAGTAGAACTTTGATATATAGCTTGAAAGACTAAAAGAAATTAACAAAAAAGAAGGAAAAAATGAAAGGAAGAACTATTACCTTTACTGACTTCGAAGTAGAACCCTAACTCTGCTGTGAGACAGAGTGCAAATTTTTGTTATTATTATTTATTTTTTTGGGAAGTGGAGGAATTTGAAGAAGAAGAAGAAGAAGAAGAAGAAGTTGGAAGGAATTTGAGAAAATGAAGACTAAAATAAGGAGGTGCCGTTTTTTTGCTGGAGAGAAGTCAAAAAAATGGTAGAATTTGAGAGAGAAGAGAGTGAGGAAGAAGGGGGAAATTGGAGGGAATAAATATTTGGGAGCAAGTATTAAAAGCTTATATGATGAGTTTCTTTTTCATTTTCCTAAGCAAAATTAGTAATAATTAATTAGCTGAAAATTTGACCGCGGTTTATAATTTATATGTTTTCGGTTTAGGCTGACTAATAGCCTAATATCAAGTATTTAGGGTAATTATCACTTTACCCTCTAATATTTAGTTCTACTATCAGTTTCTCCCCTAATTTTATCTTTTTCATACTTTTTCCCCATCAACTTTGACCAACATCAGACTCTCCTTCTTTCAAATTTTTGTCTTGAAAAATTGACTGAACTCATAAACCAAAAGAGCTTTATTTGTAATTAAAACAAGAACAAACTGCAAATTGGCACTAAGAAGTTTGAAATGACAAGTTTAGTCATGCTTTAATTATTTCAACATATTTTGAAATTAGGAATTTATAAGAGAACAAAAATTAGTAGAGAAGAAACTGTATGTCAGCTTTCGTGAATGTTCAATACTCATAAATATGGCTTTTTTGAAATTTTTTCATCACCCAAATTATGTCTTGAAATTACATAATTTTTGCATGCAATGAATTTAGTTGTATTCAGTAAATTCTCATCTAGAGAAACTCAATTTTGGTAACAATCATCTTGCAGGAAACATCATGATGTTTTTGAGTTAACAAGCTTGACATTTCTCAACCTGTTGGTCAAATCATGTCAGAGGTTTTTTTTTCTGATTTATCATAATAAAATTCAAGAGTTCTTTTATTACTTCATCCGTGGTTCTTTACTTACAACCCTTAATAAGTTGAATTGTGATCTTTCAATTATAAGTGAAACATCTTACCAACTAGGCTATACATCATTGTCAGCCAAGAATTTCAATTTCTTGACTTCTTTACTTAACCTTGATCTTCAAATTACTGATTTCATTGGTAAGTTTCCAAGTTATATTCTTTCCTTACCTAAATTTAGAAAACCCATAGTTGAAAGCAACGTGGAACTCCTTGATACTTCATCAATGTTTACTTGGAGCAGCTCTAGTTCCTTAGGAACTTGGATCTCTCTTACACAATTACTTAGATGAGCATTCTGATTAGATTGGTTATGCAAAGTCCTTGAATCAACCAGATTCTAAAGAGACTTGCCTTTCACCATTTGCTGGCATTTTCCCATCAACAATTTCAAATCTTGAGCTAGTATTTTATTTTTGTAAGTTTGAAACCTTGTGCCTAAGGGGTTCCTTAGTTGATGCAAGAATGAAGTGCTATAAATATATTTTGTTCACTTGAATTATATTCTGTGAATAGGTTTCTCCATTTCTGAGATGTTATTTTCAGCCTTAAATATTTGAAGGAATAGTAATTTTTGACCCCAAAATAAATAAATTATCTTCTGTAGTTTTTCTAAATCAAGGTACCTAAATCACTAAACAATTGGTTAAGCTACTATCACATATGCAACAACATATGCATTTTTTTTTTCAATGAAAGTACAATACTGCTGTTAAAAAACATCAGCAAGATTACGAGACTGAGACTAGAAAGAAATCAATCAATGGATTAGATGATAGATTGATTGGCTCTTAGCAACTTGACCATTAGTGCTTAGTAGGATAATTTTAAAGAACACAGTAAAAAAATTTCTTTCGTTTTTTTTTTAAATTTCACAACGAATTGGAATACGTGCCATCTAGAGCATTTTATATGCATACTACTTTAAAAGGATTTGTATTGCATGTAACATGTTTCTTGCTGTATAGATTACTTCAAAAATCAATATCGATATTAATCTAACAAGACTATACATCAAATGATCAAAATAATTCACATAATTTTGTTTTGTTGATACTTAAGTAATACATTTTAATTAGGAAGGTAACTCAATTCTGTCCTCAGAAAAAAAAAAATTCACTGCAATGGATTTCCAGCTTCATTTTGTTTTTTTAATTTCATGTTTACATTTTTGTTATCGTTGTAGAAACGTATTTCTGCTCAGCTCTGTAAATTAAAGTTTGTCAGAAAATTAGAACAAGCTAGTTTTTATTAGTTATTTTAGTCGAGCAAGTAATGAACTGTCTGTCTTATTTTAACAGGTAGTTTAATTGGATTGTTCAATTCGATCTCTTCATAGAGAGTCACTTGGTCTTAGAAGTTTGTGTTAAATACACTTTGCGCTTTTCAAACATATCCAAATTTTCACTTCAAAAGTGCATAATGTGTAGCTAAGAAAAGCTTGGGAATGAAGCTTGAAGCTCAATATCTCATCAGCCCACCAGAGCAGCTGCTAGGATTGCTAGCTTTTGATGTGATGGGCGTTACCATGCCTCTACTTTTTTTTTTTTGTCAGCAACGGTAGATGTCCTATAATTTAATCTAGCCTAATCTAGGGGGAAGGGATAAGGGGAGATGGTCAACTAAGACCAGCCACATATTGTTACCATGCCTCTACTTGTTTCCATGTAATGAGCCTAATGCCCTCCTACCAAATCAAAAAAAAAAAAAAATTACTTCAGTCTCTAAATTTCAAAAAATGTTCCACTTAAGCAACATTTGTCTCATTTTATTCTGTAAAATATGAAATATTTTATACTTCAGTCCTTAAAGAGGAACAAATTTTATAATTTAGGAATAAAGAAGACATATATTATATATAACTAAGACAAATTTTACTACAAGAAAATTGACATTTAGCTAGGAAAAAAAGTTGTGGCAAAAACTCATAAATTCATAGCCAAAAACCATTTTCGACGCCAATTTCGTAGCTGAATCCTCATCACAAATTGTAACCGGCCACGAAAAGAAGTATCTCGTCGCCAAGGCTAACTGCATTGGCTACCTAACTTATTCAGGCCCAATGACCGTTAGCAATGGTTAGGAATAAACATCGTAGGCAAAAGATTAATTGCATGGCCACAAAAATAATTCGTAGTCAAATGAGTATTTGCATTGGCTACAAAATTGTTTTATAGATAAAAGATTAAATCTTCGTAGCCATTGCCCAAGGAGAATGGCCAAGATTTCTATCTGGTTGAGAAAAGCAGAAAAAAGCCTTGTTTGGAAAGCAATTTTCCAACAAAAAATGGTTACATTTTCCACAAACATATTTTTCAATTATTTTTTTACCTCACATATATCAAATCGTTATAATATATTTTTCTACAAAACTCTAAAAAATTGCAATCTAAATTGTGTGAAGGAAGTATTTTGTGACTAAAATTGCATCGATTTGAAGGCTTTGTAGCAAAAAACCATACTATTGGCTACGAAACTTGCTCCATAGCTTATTCATCATTATAGGCTACGAAAATAGACTTGTAATTGAAAATATCGTAGTAAATAGCCACTTCTCTAGTAGGGAGGGAATGAAGTGCAACAGTTTCGAAGTTTTGAAACCAAAGTGAGAATGCAAATATAGTCGGAGAGTACCAAGTGGAACTAACCCTAGAAATTTTGTCCATCTTGGGTTTTTTATTTCTTTTAGATAGATGCAAGTTTTTCAATTAACTAGTAAAAATTGTTTCAAATCACATAATTATTTAAACCTAGAAAAGGAGAAAAAAAATCCAATCATACGTATCATTCCAGTATATTGACAATTTCAAAAAAGTTGTTCGTAACATTATCATAATAAGATTGCCATTGGATAAGCAAGCGCTCTTAGTGGTTCAAGACATCTGTCAAGAATGGAGATACCATAGATTTAACTATAAAATCCATAGTACTATTTACTTATAAAAATACAAGTAAATGTTATTAAGGAGTGCTTTACAAATATGAGACTCAGGAGGAAGTGAAAAGAGAATGACGATGTCAAAACTGAACATGAATCCAATTGACATGGGATCTGTACATTTAAACCTGTAATATGGCTCAGTTGTTAAAAAAATCGAATAAAGACCATTTTCTTTTTGAATAAATGGATTATGAAAGTACCATTTAAATGGAGTACTTGACCTCTCTCATAACAACCTCAATGGTTGTATTTCTCAGGTATGACTTAGGGAATCTGAATGCGTTTTAGTCTCTAGACCTCACCTGAATCAACTTGAAAGAACCATTCCTCTGGAGCTTCTGAATCTGTTATTTCTTGAGTTCTTAACCTTTCAGAAAATCATCTAGTTGGACCCTTTCCTCGAAGAAGGCATCTCGATGCATTTGGAAATGATTTGTGTGGAGGGAACTTGGCCTTAGGTGGGTTACCGATGACCAAAGATTGTGGAGATGCATGGGCAAAACCACCACATCACCATTGGGATTTTTCATCAACAAAATAATTCTTTGATCTTTGATGATTACTTGGAAAGCTGCTCTTATGAGATATTGCTTCGGATAAGCAATGTTAAAGTCTCATATTCTCAAATAGAAAACCAAGATTGTTCATACGGATTGTTGAAGAGTCATATAAGCTGTGGAAAAGATGACGAAAATAGATCCACATAGGAACTGGAGAAGTGGCAACTTACAAAATTGAAAATTGGTAAGCAATATTCCTTTATGGGTAAATTACTTATAACCCCTTATAGTTTTATATAATGTCAAATAATCTCCCTACAATTTCAAAATAGTCACATGATCCCCTTATGATTTTTTGTAAAGTGAAAAATGGTCGAAATATACAATTAGTTATGGTGTTTATACCAAACATGCTCTAAAAGCACGTGGGATAAAATTTTAATCTCTATGTAACCCTCTTATAGTTTGTACAAATATCCGCTTTACTTTATATGATTTTTGTAGTTATCCACGTAATCTCTTATACTTTATATAAGGTAGTTAAACCTTCGATTGATTTAGCATTTAAGTAAGGGCACTATTAGTATTTCAATTAAGAATGTT